CACTCTCCTTCCCTCTCTCTCTTTCCCTCTTTCCCTCTCTCCCAATCTTTGTCTATCTCTCTCTTCTCCTCCCTTTCCCTATCCCCCTCTTTCCCTCTCCTTCTCTCCCATTCTCTCCTTCTCTCTCCTTATCTCTCCTCATCTCTCCCTCTCCCTCTCCATCTCCCTTCTATCCCTCTCTCTCTCTCTCTCTCTCCCTCCTTCTCTACCTTACCCTCTACATAACTCCCTCTTCTCTCTTTTTCTCTTTATCTCCCCTATCACTCTCCCTCTCTTCCTTCCCGCTCCCTCTCTTTCTCCCCACTCTCCCACTCTATCTTTTTCTTTCTCCCTCTCCCACACTCCTTCTTTATCTTGCTTTATCACCTCCCTCTTTCTATCTCTCCCTCCCTCTCTCTCTCCCCCTCACTCCCTCTCTCTATCTCTCCCTCTCTCCCCCTCTCCTCCTCCTTCTCTCCCTTACCCTCACTATTTCTCTCCCTCTCTCTCTTTGTCTCTCTTTCTTTTTCCCTCTCTCTTCTTCTCTCTTCCTATCTCTCCCCCTCTATCTCTCTCTCTCTCTCCTTCCTTATGTCTCCCTATCCCTCTCACTTACTTTCTATCTATCTCTCTCTATCCCTCCCTCTCCCTCTCCCCCTCCCCTTCCATACCTCTCTACCTCTTCCTCTCTATCCCTTTCCCTCTCTCTCCCTCTCTCTTTATCTCTCACTCTCTCATTCCCTTTTCCCCTCCTCTTCCCTCTTGCTCTCTTCTCTTCTCCTTTTTTCCTTTTGTCTCCCTCCCATATCTCTACCTCTCTAAGCCTCTCTCACCCTCTCCCTCTATCTCTATCTCCCTCCCTGTCTCTCTTTCTCCCTCTCCCTCACCCTCTCCCTCTCCCTCTCTCCTCCTCTTTCTATCACTCTTGTTTACTATCTCTCTCTCCCTCTTTCTCTTTTCTTATCTCTCTCCATCCATCTCTAGCTCTCTCTCTCTCTTATTCTCCCTCTACCTCCCTCTCTCCCCCTTTCCCACTCCCTCTCCCCTTCTCTCCCTTTCTCTTTCTCCCTCACTCCCTCTCTCCCTCCCTTTCTCTTTCCCTTTTTCTCCTTCTCTCCCTTCTTTCCACTCCCTCTATCTCTCTCTCACTCTCTTCCTTTACATATCTCTCTCTATCGCTCTCTCCCCCTCACCCTCTTTGTTTCTCCCTCTCTCCCTCCACCTCTCTTACTCTTCTCTCTCCCTCTCCTCTTCTCTCTCTCCCTCTCCCTCTCTGTCCCTCTCTACTCTCCCTTCATCTCTCCTCTCTCCTCTATCTCCCTCTCTACCTCTTTCTCCCACTATCTCTTTTTCTCTCTCTCCCTCTCTATCTCTCTATTTTCCTCTCTCCCTCTTCCCCCTCTCCTCCCTCTTTTTCTTTCTCTTATTTACTCTCTCCCTCTATCTTATTCACTCTCTCCCTCTCTTTCCCTTGATAAGTGCCCATTTATGCATATTTTTAGTGTCAAATTTCTTATATGTTAATTGTCTTTAGTGATAAATGGTATAATTTTAGCGAGTTAGCTTAAATTGTGTTTCTCATGTCATATTATGTTATTTTGGTGAAAAGCAATGGAAACCAAGCAAGAATGGAGCAAACTTGGTGAATTTTGAGTGACTAGTGAATTACACAACCGAAGGCACACTTACATGATAGAGCTGCATAACTGAAAAAAAGGTTGAATTTTGAGACCTAGGCGTACATGGTAAAAGACACACCCATATAGTAGGTTGTGTAACCGTCGATTTAGAGAAAAACAAAATTTTGCATTACACGGGTAGAGACACGACTGTGTACTAGGTCGTGTCTTATGGAATGTGCATTTTTGCTCATATTTAAGTTAAAACGTGACCTAAGGTTTGGGAAGCCAACTTGGAGAAACGAGAAAACATGACCTAAGGGCATGAAAATAGCTAGGTTTTGAGCAAGATAACATTGTTAGAGTGGACTCCCATTGATTCTAGAGGAGATTACATGAAGATTAAAGGGGTTACAATGTTTTCCTTGAATGATTATTGTTCTCTATTTAAGATTTATGTGTTCTTCACTTTGACTATGAACTAAATTATGTTAGTGCCTAGATATGATGAACCCTAAGATTGACTATGTGATCTAATATCTTAGTCAATTCAATCTTTATTTTTGTTGTGATTCGAGTTATGTTGTAATTATTGTTTAATTGAATTAGCATATGCTAGCTCTGTTGATTCATACACGATTTCATACTTGTGAGACTAAAAAAATCCTAAGTGGGATTAGATCAACCATAATTGAAAAGAGTTGCATGAAATCCTAAAAATACGATGACATCAATCTTCTTAATTAGAGTTAAATCTAATAAGGGAATTCACATAATGAATTAATGTGATCCTAAGGGTGTTAATTAGAAAGAGATTTCGATTAATCAACTTAGGGTTAGGTGTTAGTTGAGAAAGTAGTTAGCATAATTCGGGAATTCCTACGATCCTTGAACATAAAGAATGATTGAATGAATGATATTATGATTACATAAAAGGTCTTAGGGGGATACGCTATCTGAGTACTTGTCTTTACCATTGATTGCTCAATTAGCTATTTTCGTTATTCTTGTTACATTTCTATGATCTCACTTTAGTTATTGCTTCTTTTAATTATTCACTATCACTATACTTTATTGATTAGATAATAAAAAGAGGGTGATTATGAGTACTCGTAGTCTTTGTGGGATCGACACTCGATACTACGTCAACTATACTATTTAATGATAGGTGCACTTACCTAAAGTCTATGGTTAGAAGACGATTTATCAAGTTTTTGGCATCATTGCTGGGGACATAGCATATTAGGAAAACTTTGTTTTCATTAATCTAGCCATTTTATTTTCTCGTTATATTTAATTAGTTTTTTTTATTTATCTTATTTTCTTTGAATTGCACTCTTCTTTATTCGTACTTGCTTTTCGGGAGCTCGGTTAGTGCATGACTCGCAACAACCCAACTCGAATTAGTTAAGCTAGATCCCGAAATAAAAGAACGACTCTTCAAAACCTCAAAAATTGACTTAGATAAAGAGAAAAAGAGTTGGTTAGGGAAAGAGAAGAAGGACGTCGGAGGGAAGAAGAACCGCGAGATAGTCATGGCCGAGGAAGAGAAAACCATGTTTGATTATACTAGACCAAACTTGATAGTAATAGAATCTAGCATTATCAAACCAGGTTGTTGCGACCAATAATTTTGAGATCAAGCCGAACATCATTCGGATGGTGCAACGGTTGTGCGGTTTGATGGGTTGCGGGATGAAGACATGAATGCTCACTTGGCCAACTTCTTGGAAATCTATGACACATTCAAGATCAATGAAACTCGCGATGATGCTATCGGATTGAGACTATTTCCATTCTCACTCGAGGAGTAAAGCTAAGCGATGGTTAAGCTCTCTGCCTAAGGGATCCATCACCACCGGAACCAAATAGAAGAGAAGTTCTTAGCAAAATAATTTCCACCGCAAAGACTGCAAAGCTCATGAATGATATTTCCTCATTTGCGTAGATTGAGTCGGCGACACTTTATGACACTTGGGAGCGATTTAAGGATCCGTTGAGGAGGTGCCCACACCATAGCCTTCCTATATAGATGCAAGTTCGGACTTTTTATAGTGGATGATAGATGCGGTAGGTAGATGATAGATGCGATGAGCTGGAGGCACTCTAAATAACAAAACGCCCGAAGCGGCTCGGGAATTGATAGAGCGGATGGCTATAAACAATTACTAATTGAGCACGGCTAGAGCAAAGCCAAATAAACCAGCGAGTGTTTATGATGTAGATGCGAGTAACAACTCCAAGCGGCTCGAGTGGAGGCTGCGAGTAAGAAGATTGATGGTCTATTAGTGGTACGACGAATCGATTCGGATTATACGAGTACGAGTTGTATGGGGGAGTACATATGAGCCGAGGATTGTAGAGAGGTAGTTAATTATATGGGTAATGCTCCTCGTTCTCAAAATAACCCATATAGTAATGCTTACAATCTTGGGTGGAGAAATCACCCCGGTTTCTCTTAGAGAGGTCAAGGACGGTAGAGACAGAATCATCCACTATGATTCTAGTAGCAAAACTCATCTCGGGAAAAGAAACCCGAGTTTGGAATAGCTTAAGGCTAAGTTCATTCAAACATCCGAATCTCGTTTTTAGGCAATCAAAACAACATTGAGAAATCAAGAGGCTTCTATCCATAATCTTGAGAAATAAATTAGGTAACTTGCCAAGTCCTTTTTCTAGAGACAACAAGGTAGTTTGCTTGGTAATACCGAGACTAATCCTAGAGAACATGTAAAGGTAGTCTATCTTAAAAGTGGAAAGGAATTGAGGGTGAAGGAGAAGAAAGGCGAGGAAGAGAAAACAATTGAAAAGGGTAAAGAGCAAGAAAAGTTAACAAGCAACCTTAACCGAGTGAAAGAGTCCGGTCCTACCATTGCATATCCTACAAAGCTGCAAAAGGACCGCATGGATGAACAATTTGGTAAATTTCTTAAACTTTTTAAACAACTGCATAAAAATATACCATTTGTTGAGGCTCTTTCGCGGATGCCAAAGTATGCTAGATTTTTTAAAGAACTTCTTTCAAACAAGAGTAAGCTAGAAGAGTTGTCAACGAGTGGAATTAAGTGAGGAGTGCTCTGCTATCCTACAAAACAAGCTACCTTAAAAATTACAAGACCCAAGGAGTTTTACTAGCCCTTGCTCATTTGGTAGTTTGTTAGTTAAAAAGGCATTAGCGAGATCTTGGGGATAGTATAAATTTAATGCCTTTTAAAATGTTTAAGAAATTGGGGTTGGGAGAACCTAAACCAATAAGAATGAGCTTACGGCTAGTAGATAGATTTTTCAAATACCTTAGAGGTAAAATTAAAGATGTGTTGGTTAAGGTAGATAAATTTATTTTCCCAGTTGACTTTGTTATTCTTGACATAGATGAAGATGTAGAAGTACCTTTAATCATAGGAAGACCATTTTTTGCTATCTGCTATAGCCATTATTGATGTTAGTGATGGTAAACTTGTTCTTAGGGTTGGGGATGAAGAGGTAACTTTTCTTATATCTAAATCTAAGAGACACTCCCTTGAACATGATGATAAATGCTATTTTATTGATGCTATTGATACTGTAGTTTTAGAATCGTGTAAGGAATTATGTATGATGACCCGTTGGAGCTGTGTATTATTCAAGGTGAGGAAGATTATGAAGATGACCCCATTAGAGTTGAGCAAGTAGCCTGTTTAGAGGCTACCGAGTTCATGGTTCGAAATAAGGCATTTAAGGAGATTGATAGATGTAAAGAAACGAGACTAAAACCCTCCATTGAGGATCCACCTAACTTGGAATTGAAAGCTTTACTTGAAACACTTAGAATATGCATTTCTTAAAAAAGATTCAAAGTTACCGATAATAATTTCTTCCAAGCTAAAGATGGACTAAAAAGAAAAGTCGTTAAATGTTCTTAGAGAGCATAAGAGGGCTATTGCTTGGAAAATTTTAGACATTAGAGGAATTAGCCCTTCTTTTTGCACTCATAAAATTTTGATAGAGGATGAGTTTAAACTAGTGGTGCAACCTCAAAGGAGGCTTAATCCAAATATGAAGGAAGTTATAAAAGCTAAGGTAATTAAACTTCTTGATGTAAGAGTGATTTATCGTATTTACGAGAGTTCTTCGATGAGCCCCGTATAGGTTGTTCCAAAGAAAGGAGGGATGACGGTGGCCCCGAATTAAAAGAATGAGCCGATTCCAATAAGAATAGTCATCGGGTGGAGAGTGCGTATCGACTAGAGAAAGTTGAATGATGCCACTTGGAAAGACCACTTTCCCCTCCCATTTATTGATTAGATGCTAGAGCGACTAGCTAGACACATGTATTATCGCCTCTTAGATGGTCTTTCGAGCTACTTTCGCATTCCTATAGCTGCGGAAGACCGGGAAAAGACTACATTCATGTGTCCCTATGGTACATTCACTTATAGGAGAATGCGGTTCGGGTTGTGCAACGCACCTGCTACATTCTATAGATGCATGATGGGCATTTTTTATGATCTAGTGGAGGACATAATGGAGGTATTTATGGATGATTTTTCTATTTTTGGTAATTCTTTCGATTTATGCCTTCATAATTTAAAAAGAGTGCTTGAACATTATGAAGAAACTAATCTGGTTTTAAACTAGGAAAAATGTCATTTCATGGTGTAAAAGGGCATAGTCTTAGGCCATAAAATCTCTTATAAGAGGATTGAGGTAAATAGAGCAAAAATTGAAACTATTGAAAAACTACCTCCCTCAACTTCGGTTAAGGCTATTATAAGTTTTTGGGTCAAGCGAGCTTTTATCAAAGATTCATAAAAGACTTTTCTAAAATTGTTAAGCCTTTAACCAAGTTGTTTGAGAAAGATGTGCGTTTTTTTCATCGAGGAGTGTTTAGATGCATTTAACACTTTGAAAGAAAAATTTATTAACGCCCCAATAATGGTTACCCCAGATTGGAATCTTCCTTTTGAACTAATGCGTGATGCTAGTGACTCTGCAGTTGGTGCGATCCTTGGATAGCATAGAGATAAGCATTTTCAACCCATTTACTATGCTAGCAAAACTTTGATCGATGCACGGGAAAATTATACTACTATAGAAAAAGAATTACTAGCTCGTAGTCTTTACATTTGATAAATTTAGACCTTATTTAATTCTATCCAAGGTTGTTGTTTACATTGACCATTCCGTATTAAGATATTTGTTGAACAAGCCGGATGCCAAACCTAGGTTGATTAGGTGGATCTTACTATTGTAAGAATTTTATTTAGAAATCAAGGGTAAAAAGAGCTGAGAACTTGGTAGCGGACCACTCGTCCCAATTGGAGAACCCTCATTTGGAAAAACTTGATGAAGAGGAAATCAACGATGCATTCCCGGAAGAGCACCTCTATAACATTAAACAAGTAATCTTGAAATCCCTTGGTTTGCTAATATCTTTATTTATTTGGTCATTAAGATCCTTCTTAAGGGACTCATTCATCAGCAAAAGAAGAAATTCTTTTCCGAGTTGAAAAATTACATTTGGAAGGATCCATATTTGGTTAAGATTTGTGCGGACTAGATTATTAGGAGATGTGTATCCTACATAGAGGGATGGAAAATCCTAGATCATTGCCATTTAGGACCCACTAGTGGACACTACCATGAAAACAAGATAATTCGGAAAGTGGTTGAGTTAGGTTTTTAATGGCCTACATTTTTTCGGGATATCCGGAGGTATGTGAAATCTTATGATAATTGCCAACGAATAGGTAACATCTCTTATCGTGATGCAATGGCCCAAAATTATGTATTGGTATGCAAATTTTTTGATATTTAGGGCTTGACTTCATGGGCCCTTATTTCGAATGGTAATAAATATATTCTTGTTGTAATTGATTATGTGTCTAAATGGGTTGAAGCTCAAGCTTTACTCACTAATGATGCTATGGTAGTGGTTAAGTTTCTAAAAAAGCTATTTTGACGATTTGGTTCACCTAAGGCAATTATAAGTGATAGGGGCACGAACTTTTGTAATACATAATTTTCTAAAATGCTTATGAAGTATGGTGTTACACATGGAGTTACTACCCCTTACCATCCACAAACTAGCGGCCAAGTCGATGTAGCTAATAGGGAACTAAAAAGGATTCTAGAGAAGACCATAGAGCACCAAAGAAAGGATTGGTCGGAAAAGCTAGATGATGCTCTATGGGCTTATAGAACAACATACAAAACGCCTATAGGCACCACACCTTATAGGTTAGTGTATGGTAAAGCATGCCACTTACCTATGGAACTTGAACATAAAGCATATTGGGCAATCAAGTCCATCAATTTTAACCTTGATCTTGTAAATGAGAACATAAAACTTTAAATAAACGAGCTTGAGGAATGTCATTTGGTAGCCTATGATAATGCAAAGCTATACAAAGAAAGGGCCAAACGAGTATCATGATCACAATATTAAGCAAGCCAAACTATTCAAGGAGGGAGATTAAGTACTCTTGTATAACTCCTAACTTCGATTGTTTCTGGTAAGCTTAAATCTCACTCTGGTTGGGACCATTCACAATAAGACAAGTCTTTTCTTATGGCACTATAGAAATAACCCATCCGGATAAAAGAATGTTTAAGGTAAATGATCATCGGTTAAAGTTATATCTCAAAGGGGACATTGACAACCTTGGTAGAGAGGAGTTCAATCTTTAATGCATAAAACAATACACTTGAAGCTCGTCAAGGTAATGATGTTAAACGAGCACTTTTTGGGAGGCAACCCAAGATTATTTTTCAATTTCTATTTTCAATTTTTTTGTTATTCTAGTTCTTTCATGATTTTGAAATTTTATGAAAAAAAAGGAGGAAGGTAAAAAATTAGCAAGTTTTTGAAGTGTTATGGGCTTTTGCGGTCAAAAGGACGTCAAAATACACTCCGGATAAGTATTCTAACTTATAGAGAGTTACATGGGGTAGGACACGGCTTTTTACGTACTCGTGTAACAAACATCTCTTTGCTTTAAATTACGAGTTACACGAGGTGAAACAAGTCTATGTTCATACCCATGTAACAAACTCGCCTTTTGTTTTTAGATTATAAAGTGTTACACGGGGTGGGACATGGCTATGTCCATACCCACATAACATATTGTCTTTGCTTTAAAATATAAAGAGTTACACGGGGTGAGACACGATCGTGTCTACACCCATGTAACTGATTGCTCTTTTTTTTTTCAAGATTTTGTTACCTAATAAGAGTCCCGCACCTCACGCACCTCATGATACCCTAATTGATGTAGCACCTATGATGATCCTGCTGGCCGGCTTTAGCACCACAACGACCTTCAAATGATATAGAGCCTATAGAGCCATTATCAATATTTTGACTTGTCTACTTTTGTCATGTCCTTCAATTTCATAGCGGCGAGGGACTAGCCCCTGCTAAACGGATATTATTTTATGTTTCTTTGTGATATTAGTTCGAACCATAGTAGTTGTAGGCTTAGTTATTTTGTGTTTCTTTTTCATAGTATCACCTTTTTGCTTTTTTTCTTTTTCTTTTCCTTTTCCTTTTTCTTTTTCTTTTTATTTCATTTCTTTGTCTTTTTTCATTTTCTTTTGCAAGGATATATGCAAAGCTGGATGGAATTCACACCAACTTTCAAAAAATGTGCTTTCTTGTTCGGGGAAATTCCAGTACCTCATTTTCTCACCTTTTTTTCCCTTTTGTTAGTAATCTATTTTGTGCTTTATTTTGTAGATTAGGAACAATGTACATCTTTTAGTGTGGGGAAGGGGTAAACTTTTACGGATGTTTTGTTATGTCAAAACAGATGACGTGTGTTCTCATTGTGCCTAGGAATGACAATATCCGGCTCTATGATGGGAATGCATAGTTGTTTGCATGCATGAAGTGATGATTAATGTGCTTTGATTTCATCTTAACTTTTGATTAAAAAAAAAAGAAAAAGAAGTTTTTGAGGATGATTGTGTGTTGAGCCATAGACTATATATTGAGCACTTATCATTGTATCTTATTGAAATTATGAATGAAAACTTATGCTTACTTCATAATCTATATGGTGAGGTTGGAACTTTACCTATAGGGCGGTTATGTTTGATTATATGTAAGAAGTCTAAATGTTAATGCTTAACCGAATAAATGTGACTCCCAACTTATTGAACCTAAACCAAGATAGTTGAATGTGGCCTTCAAATAAAACTAATCCAATGTCTTATATGAAGCTATGAGTATGCAAAGCACCCTCGAAAAGGGATTCTCCGAGTAACCAGGGACAATCACCAAAAGTGAGGGGCCTTTGTGTCTATAAAGAGGATTTACCTTGAAGGTGGAAACCAAATAAGTGTAAATCTACACATTAAGGCAGGCCCTTAATTCACTAAGCGAGATTGTAGCAATCAAGCGGGTGAAAAAGTTGAGATGGAGTGTAAAACGCATTCAATGTCACTAATTAATAAATAAATGCTTAAAGTGATAAATTTTTTTATGATCTTTGTGTGTATGATAAACATAAGCGTCCTATAGTTACGGTTTCAAATTTGTTATGTGGATTGGTGATGGTAACGTAGTTGATTTCATACTATCAACATTTACATATTGATGCACATATGCACGACCTTGGCTTGACCAATGATTATGCTTTAACTTTTTGTTTAAATGATTTGGAAGTCTAAGTACATTTAATTGTTATGTTGTACACATCTATCCGTTATCCCCGAGGTCAATTCTTAATTGTTACATGTCTAGGTAGAATGAACACACCTCCATTTGGTTTTTGACTAGTTATAAAATTATTTGCTTGAGGATAAGCAAACGCTTTAGTGTGGGAAGTTTGATAAGTGCCCA